ACCAGCTCTTCATTCCTACTTTAGAGGAAAAAGCTATTAGATATTATAAACTTATTAATAAAATAACATTACGCCCTACTTCAATGAATTTTATGAAGTGCATAATGGCTTAAAATGGCAATTTTTTTTTTCTTCAGAGACAAAATGCAGCTTATTAGTCACACTTGAATCATACCATGCTTAAATATTTAGCTGAGTAAGTGCATGATACAATTGCTTTACATAAGTCGCTTTCGCTAAAGCATTCACACAGAATAAGATCAGAATGCGAGTCAAACAAGGACTCTTCGCCCCAGGGAGCCCTTCAAAGACGAGCCGCAGTTAAGACATCAGTGACAAACTAAGGCAGGCCTGTCAGCCTCTGACAGCTATAGGCTGGAGGGTGGGATCGCTTCCACCTGAGAGAAATCTGAGCTGGTCCTGCTCCTTCTCACACCTCCACTCTCCAACTTATCAGTTCCTCAGCTCTGCCTGTGCTCCTAAATATTCATGAGCATGGAGCAGGCGGTGTCATCTCAGAATATCTAAATGGAGGCCAGAGGCAGAGGGAAGCCACCCGGCGATAAAACGCTCCGGTCCACTGCAAACGTTGAGCCCATCATCTGTAACCCTGCAAATGTCAGAGTCCTTCTCTCGTCGTTTTAACTTTGAGGCCTTTACTTTGTAATCCACAAGTAAAATCTTTTGAGTGGTCTATTATAGATTCAATTGACTGAAACATTCATACCTCCTCATTTCCACATATTGTTATGATTCAATGACAAAATATTTTCATGTGACGTAACAGAAAGTAATGAAATAATTTGATAAATATCAATAAATTCTAAAGGTTTTTAATGGTTTGCAGAATAAGATCTGAAAAGTGTCAGACAACTCAATTTTTGCCCGTGCTTCTTTGTAAAATAGCTCAAGCTCACCTAGAATGAAGGGAAATCATCTCTGATTGTCAATCTTGTCACAGATTTTAAGCCAACCTTGCTGCCATCCTCCAACCTCCAGGAGATTATAGAAAAATGTTCTGCAGACTTTACATTACAACGGGCCTTTTTTTTCCCTTCATCTTGCTAAATGAAACTCATTTAAATGCTGCACAACATTTTGAAAAAACACAGTTTTGTTTTCCTTTTAAGGTTGCAAAACCCAGAAAAAAATAAAACCTTTGCCAAAAGGGAATGGATTTTTGTTGTCAATATTTGTTTATAAAGCAGATGGTTTCCAACCAAATGAGGAAAAAAAACATCTAAAGTGTAATTTTTTTGTTGATTTTCAATTAAATTATTTCAGGACAATGCTGAAAAACTGCCAAATCCATTATTTGTCATTATTTCACAGACAAACTGACAGTTAATCAGTCCAAAAAGCCACCTTTAGCTTCAGAACCTTAGCTTTCAGAGCCCTGTTTTGGATTTCCAGCATCACTATCCCTGCAGCATGACATTGTCACCATCTGTTGCCAGGTTCACAGGCTGTTTTCCACCCCAATATATTTTGGATTTTAGAGTTGAAAGTCCAAATTTGGTTTCATCTGACCAGAAAATCTCCTTCAAAGTGTTTGCTGTCTAGATGATTTGTGGACACTTTGAAATTGGACTTCTTTCAAAGATGTCCTTCATGAAAGAAATGTGTATTGTTGTTGTGTCTTGGTTTATTAGACATGTCAGGGCATTACTGATTGTTTCAGTCTGAGTTGCATTGCACGGAGTAACTTCTAGGAACAACGTTTCTGCAACAAGCGGCCAAAAAATGTGGAAGAAATATGCTAAGTTTTTGACAGCTGATTTGTACATACACAAATAGTTTGCAGACTGAGGTTTGCAAGGAAAATGCAAAAAACAAAAGATTAAATGACTTGGTTTTGCCTGGGTGATTTCTGATTTTCCACTTGAAGCCACTGGGGGCTGATGCATGGTACCAGCTCATGTTCAGGGTCATGCCTGTGTCACTATAAGAGTCTCTAATGAGACCCAGACGAGCCCGCTGTGCCCAGCGGAGCAGAGCTGAAAATCTAAAAGCTAACCACACCACACAAGAACCGGTTGCAGGAAAAAAAAAAGGAAAACGAAAGCGGGAAGGAAGATTTTCGAGTGTTGCAGCGGCACCACACAGGGCAATTTTTTGAAACTACTATGAAAGGCTGTGTTTTCTGTCTAAGGATTGCAGGAGGCCGTGAAACAGACCATCATTCAAAAGTTATTTTTGAAGGCAGCAGGGAATGGGGAAATGAGAGAAACTCTGCTCAACAGAACCATGTCTGAAAAGACTTTTACTTTAGCCTTGAGCCCTGATTTGGAGAACAAAGCTGGAGTGAAATGTTCTGTTTTTTGTTTTATTTTCTGTCAGTGCTGCTCTGAATAGACAGAAAAGAGTTGAGCAGAAATTTTAAGTTCACAGAATGAGTGAAGGACAAAGAAAAGATTAAACAATAACTGGTAATCACTTTTACTCAAGGTGAGGCAAGCTCCGAGGAGAATTTACTTAATAATCTACCCCAAAAAACTCACCATGTTACATCATGCCGTGAATATAATACATTAATTGACATCTGTTTTATATCAGATTATTGCACTATATCTTTTTATCCTATATTTCATACCCTTTATCATCTATAATATTCTAAATTATATTTCATGTCAAATAGCATTATGTAATATTGTATCTAGCAGTGCACCGATATCTGAGGTTTACAGAAAAACAGCACTGAATTGATTTAAAACATAAAAAACAGACATAAATGTACTGAATTACAAACTTATTTGATAACTGTGCGCAGGTAACACACACTTAAATATACCAGAGGCTTCACAAACTTGGTCAAACATGTAAAAACAACACAGTTTTAATGTCTTCAGAGTGAGCAGCCCCCTCATATTACTGCAGTTTATTCATATCAAATCATATACTATCTTGCCTTATCAATTGTCAGATAACACAACATACAATGTGTAAACCTACATTTCTCATAAATTTTAGATGTCAAAACCAGAAACTTTTGGAACATATCTCCATGCTGAACAGACTGCAGTGTTACTTGTATTTCTAAATATGTGTTGCGTAACCATGCCAACTGGACGGTTGTTTCCTGCAGAAGCAGCAGATTGACCTTTCAGCAGCCTGAATTATGCGGAGAACAAGTCCCAAGACAGGTTAAGGAGGAGATTGCCAGGATTTATAACAACAATTAATTCCTTCATGGGACGAATACAGTATTATCTTTTTATTCCCCCAGTTACAGTATGTCTATTTTATAAACAAAACAGGCCTGCAGTGTCTCCTTCTGAGGGTGGAAAACTGGAGAGAAACTAGATATTATTCTGTTGGTTGTGGTTCTACATAAATACACATAAATTGACAAGAGTATCATATAAAAAACATTCATGAATGTTAAACTTTTGTGACCATACAACCACAAACCTGGATGTATTTTAATTTCATGTGATTGTGTGAGTGGAACATGGATATCATCTCTCTTTTCCCAAGCAGCTCTTCCTATTGTTGTGGTTCATACATTCAAGGCTGCATCAAAAACATATGTGGAGGTTTCTCTTTCACACGTTTGAAAAATCCTTTAATCTCTATGGCAGCCATTTAGCTGTGCAAAATGCCAGGGTGGACTTAGCCCCGCCTTTGAGGCGCAGCTCCTCCTTGGAGCTGTAGAACCATCCCTCCTCCGCTCAGGTCCTTCAGACTAGCCAGCAGCAATTAGCAAACACTGTTAAGCTCATTATGCAAGCTTCTTCTCAGTGCAACATTGGTTAAAAAAAATCTTTGTTTTAAGGTTAACAGATTAGCTATGATGTAATTGTCCTGAAGGAGGAATTTCAGACATAGCAGTTTTCTTTAAGGTAAATTTCAAGGCGTTAAATTAAAGTCAAAATTATTTTAAGTTAGATTTGATATTTACAGCATTTTTATGACAACTGAACTGAACATTCTTACTTTATAGTGCTCTAAAGTGGCACTATGGCACATAGTGTCCCCCCCTCCTTTATTGCACAATTCTGTTGTTGCACCATTAAATTTGCATGTGGACTCTATGTGATCATGGATAAAAATTTATGAGTGAAGGAAAAAAAAACCTTGTCGTAGTTCAGAAGGATTGTTGGAAAAGAAAATTCTCCACATGAAAATTACAGTTTCTACAAGTAATCCAACGTTTTCCAGCTACCTTGTAAGTACAAAGACAACTGACTTACACTAAATATTACAAAGAGGAATTACAATGTGGCCGTGCGTGCTGCCGCTGGCATTGTGCCGCCATTTTGTCTTTCAGACACAAAGCGCTGCCATAATAAACTCTTTTAATTGTCAAAAAAAGCTCATGAATTTTTTATGGTAAGTTCAAGCAAATTAAGATGTTGGCATCTTGACTTGAACTTGTTACTTGTTTAAGACGAAACCCACGCCCACACTAAATAGCTTGTTATAAATTCTGTTTTAAACGTCTAAATCACGGAGCCCGGCCTGTTCTGGATTCTGTGTCTAGGTCTCCTTTCAGTTCCCAAGTAGGTGACAGATGGTTTTCCCAAGGGAGGGGCTGCAATGCTCTGATGCTCACTGCAGGCTGAATAACCTTCTCTATCAAAGCCACAGGCAGAGGTTAGTGTCAGAAAAGAAAGATCACTAAGACATACCTCAGTTCAGAACCCAACCTTTTGAATCTCCAGGATAGATTAACACATACTGAGATTTTGAAGTTTAGTTGACTGCAAAACTCTTGAATCAGCCCTCATTTCTTTAGTAGCAAGCAGCAAGACTTTTCTTGTAACCTTTCAATTGCTGTGTTCCCATATTTCTTCAGGCTTCCTGAAAGTCATTCAAAGCTTTCACTCAGACACTTGCATCTTACAGCTTCTTTATATCCTTTAAAGTTTAAAGCATCCCCAAACCTAAAGTGACAGACAGCTTCACAGCTCGTCTTAAATGCATTTCATCATCGCATCAATGTCTGGATGTTTAATTGTGTGCATGCATGCAGAGAACAACAACAAGTGTTTACTTACTGATTCTTGGCTCTTGTTTTTTGCATCATACACAGTTAGCTTGACCAGTGAGTCTTGGCTGTCAGGACACTCTGAAGGGAAGGTCACCCCCGTCAAAAACAGCGGGTCTTTGTTTGCCTGTTGGCAGAAAAATTTGAGAAAGTGCGTGAGTGTGTTTATGTGTATATTTGACTTAACCATAAAATTTCGCTATTTGAAATACCAAAAATAAATTTGCTTAATGGAAACATGGCAATCTCGAAAAACTCACATTACGTTTTAGCTGTAGGATGAGATGGTTTTTCAGCCACATAGAAATAGATTTATTTTGCAAAACGGTATTGGAAATTCTGTTTTCGCATCACAAAAGTCTAGTGATAAACTACTGGTGAAAACAATGATGAAGACAACAGGAAGTGGTAGGAGGAAGAAGGTTTGTTTTTGGCTTTCTGGACAATGTGCTGCTGGATCCATCGGAGTTCTCACAGCATCGAACAGTTCATAAGAAGCTGTGTGTCATTCGAATGTATTAAATCCATAGCTCTTCTGTAAAATCACCAACTAGAATTTCCCCCAAAAGCTACAAATGCAAGTATAAGCAGCTTTTCCATCCAAGCAAATATTTACCAATGTATCTCACATGAATCCCAACAAGCAGCTGCCATATTTTATTATTAATATTGAGATTATTTAGTTTTAGTTCTGGAAGAAAATGGTTTAATTTCAAGGAAAGACATCAAGTTAAATGGATGTTTGGTGGTATTTGCTTCAAATGTCAAATCTTTTTTTCAATCATAGAAGTAGCAGATTAACGATTAATCTGCAGAGGAAACTGCACTGCTGCAAGAAACACAGTATTGTTGATGATTATAGACAACAATTCAGATGACTGATATAATGTGACTTCAGCCTCATTTATCAAAAAAGGAACAATACACAGGAGATGTAGCTCATGGATTACAACAGAGAAAAAGAAACTTTGGCTGGAATGAGCCTTTGAATTCAATGATATCCCAGACAACAATAAACCCGCTTTGGCCCAAAAATGCTCTGCAATCCCCCAGAATCAGCTGGAGAACATCATTAGGTCGAGAACAGCTTGGATTCTTTCCTGGTTGGGGCGGTTGGCGGTTTGGACGAATTTCAACAATGCGTTGAACAAAATTGGCTAAATTGAAAGTTGGCTTTAATAAACTTATTTTAACATATTTTGTTTTATTTTTAGCCTAAATGTCTGAACTATGTTGGAGTTCATGTTTGCAAAAGATCAAGAGGGAATGTTTATTTACCAAGTTTTTTTTTTAATCAACATAGGGATGTTTTAATTTTTTGATCTGACTGGAGCAGCTAAAAAAATCTTTAACTCAATTTATTTTTCCAAGGTTTTTCTTTCACATATTCATTTACAAATTACTTTATAATTCAGATTTTCTTCTTTAGATGTACAATAATGAACAGACTAAGAACACTGTTCTTCAGAAGAAGTATTCTTACTTTGGAGAGTTGATGCTGTGCTATATAAAATCAAGCCTAGTTTTGAGATGTGTACTTTAGATTCCAGAAGGGAAAACACAGAGATCCCTCTTGCTTCTTTAAGGGAATCTCAAGGCATTCCGAGGCCAGAAGGTTCTGGTTCTGCCTCGGGATCTCCTCCCACTGGGACATTCCCAAAAGACCATCAAAGGAAGGCCCCCAAGTGGCGTCCTGACCAGATGCCTGATCTCACTCTGGTCCCTTGATGTGGAAAAAGTAAACGAACCGAATCATTTTCAGCAGAAGGAGATCTAATTGTGGCATCTTTGTTATATTTGCTTGTATCCAGAACTTTGCTTTTTATACACATCACTTAATGGTAGAAGGAATATAGATTTACCTGTAAATTCAAAGCGTCATCTTTTAGCCCAGACCATGACCTAAAGGAACAACGTCCTCATTATGACAAACAGAGCTCTAATCCATCTTCAATCTGTAATTAACATACTTCAACTCCTCCATTTGTGCATAACCATGCACTGAATATACATTATGCAAAACTGAGGGTCAAAGAAAATTATGACTAGAGGGATGAGGGAGGAAAAAAGGAGGACGCAATCGTCTTCCTAAGGGTGATTTTTAAGTTTTCTCTGTTATTTTGTTGACTGAACAGTGCATACACACAAAGAAGCTGATGTTCCTTTCTGAATATAAAGAATGAGAAGTTGTTTGGCATTCAGAAGGTTGCGGGTGCAATTTCACCACATTTCCAAGTGTTCTTGGCCAGAACTCTGGACATCTTGGCTACCAGAACTTCATGTTAGTACGGTAATTATGTCAGCGCAGATAGATGACTATAAAAGTGTAGATGGTTGTAAAGTAAAATCTTTTGAGTGGTCTCGATGGTCTATAAAAGTTTGAAACAGCTTTAGTTTGTTTACCAGTTATCTGAAATATAATAAAGTATATTTGTGAATTCCTTTTCAAAGAAGGTCAATCACCTTTACGTATTTCTTTTATTATTCTAATTTCTATGACTCTAGTAAATTTCAACACAGGCACATTATGCAAATTTAGTGGGGGACATAGCAATTAAATCTTTTTAGGGCTCCATTTAGACAGATCCCAAAATGATCCTGGACAACAAACGCAACCCTTTATGGCTCTAAATGTAGGTGTAAATACACTAAAAGCAGATCAAACCCACAGATCTGGATTTTTATTGCATGCATGCTTTTCTTCTCTAATATCGCATCTGTTAGGTTAGAAAACTGTGCTTCAAACTGCTGGGATTGGTCACAACTCACGGTGTGACATATCCGAGTTAGTTTGGCCAAATTGGAATGAGAGCACTCACAGTGAATTTTAATTTTAGATGTGAATGACCATGTTTAATGCTGTTCACTCGTGTCTATCAACCAGGACACAATGCATGAAATCGGACTAAAAACACCAGAAATAAACACTTTTTTGTACAGTCATAAAATATAAATTATTTATAGATAAAAATATGAAGCTATTCAGTAGTTTGATTGGAAAGAAAGCTTGTATCCAAATAATAATCTTTTTCTTTCAGATCTTTTCAAGTATTTGAAATATTTTACCCTTCAGATTTGTATCTGCCTTGTGTGCACTGAACCTTTTTGCTTGCTGCTTTCTTTATCCTAACCTGCGTTGGGATAAGGTCTAAAATTAAAAGTGGTTGAGAGGAAAACATAATTCTGGACATAAACAAAAACATTTATCTCTAAAATCCCTTCTTCCGCAAGTGATTTTCATTTTGCATCTATTCCATGGTGTACCATGAGACAGAGTCAGCTAGAACGACTGAAAAGTTTATAAAGTTTTACCTCAAAAGAGTTTTTTCTGTTTGTTTTTACAGTTTCTTTGAAATTGAGCTTGAAAAGGTAAAATGCACAACAAAACAAACTCCTAGAAACTATGAATTATTTTAAAGTTAATTTAGTCAGCAATATATTTTGACACTAATAAACTATTTTGCAGGCAAAAGCCTTTGAGAACTTATTATTCACTTGGTGTTGTGTGTTTGTACAAGTTCAAAACATTTTGTGTTTATACTGGGGGCGTTCTCTTCCTTTGCTCCGCTCTGATGGGCGTCTCCAGCATGTAGCCCTTTGGGACCATAGAGGGACAGACTTGGGGCAGTAATGAGACCAACATAGACTTACTGTCACGCTTGGATGTGAGGTCACACCCAGAGAAAAAAAAATATAAAAAATAGAAAAAAAACCCTCACTATTTTAGCAAACCTTTGCAAAACAGCTGAAATAAATGAATAAATCCCCTTGATGAGGCAAATAATGCAAAATTGAATTCCTGATTTAATTAACTCACCAAATTATTTGTGACAGTGAATAAAGCTTTTTTCAATTATCACAATGTTCAAACTAACACAACAGGTTATTGTTGGAAGATCATTTTATTTATCAATACCTTATAACTGCATTCTCAGCCGTCTTTAAATCCAAGCAAAAAACAGGACACCCTCCAACAATACATAAACAATGTTGCAAAAACTTAGAAGTACTTCAACCCTTAGATTTCCTCCTCTTTTGTCCCAAATGTAAACATTTCAGATGATCAAACCAATTTCATTAACAGACAAGATAATGTGAGTAAATAAAAATAAATTAGTTCTTAAACGAGGATATCTTAGAAAAAGTCCACTAAACTATTCTGGGCATTTTTGAAAAAGTAATTAACCTCTAAACCTATTAACTTCCAGCTGCAGAGGAAATTTTTGCCAACTCTGTTTCAGATTTGAAAGATTTTTCAGTATTACAGCCCATTACTGCAAACGGAGTCTGACATTTTCCTTCAAAACTTTCTGTTAGAGACGGTTCCATTAATTACAGCAAATAGTCCAGGCCTTGAAGTAGTAATTTATCCCTATGCATTTTTCTGAAATGAAAATGCATTAAAGTTTAAGGTGGTGGTGAAAGAAAGGGCAAAAAAATTAAATTTGAATTCTCTGTAAGGCACAGTGAAATTATTCAGTATTACACATAAAGTAATCACCAGACAGAGCAGATTTCTTGGTAGAAGAACAAAGAAAGATGCTTATTGGCAAATGAGTTTAGTAGAGAAATCCAACTCTACTAATTGTAATTTAGTAGATAGCTGCCTATCATTTTAAAACCACTCACACATGGTGTATAATAAAACTTTAAATACTATGCATACAAATTAAATTAAAATCCAGTGTTGAGAATTTCACATTCAGCCTTGAATTAGACCGTATCTTTTTTTTTGGTCAACGGATGCCGAGGATCTGCCTGCTTTTGAACTGACAGATTTTCTCGACTTCACTCAGTTTTTGGGTGCGCAGATTAGTGGTTTGCAGCCGCCGCAGCATTAAATCCTTTGAAATACAAAGCTTGTGATGCAATTTGAGCAGCTGATATTTTACTTTTTCAAAATACTGCTAGCACAATGTTTGTTACTTGGTCTAATTTAAAAAATAGAGCTAAACATTGGTCTAAAGAATTATACCAATGTTGGTCTAATTTTTTAAACTTAGTCTAAAAAAGTTTGTTACTTAGTCTAATTAAAAAAGCATTTGAGTTCATACCACACTGAACAAATGAAAAAATATTGCATAGACAAACAGGCAATCTAAAGACATAAATGTTTGACAGAAATTG